GCCTTGGCTTTGGGCCGCTTGGCCCTAGCCTTGACTTTGGCCAGCTCCTGTTGCAGAAGGCCATGCCTTGCACTATGGGCTGACTTGGCCATTGATGCCAACTCACGTATCCTTGCCTCTATTGCTTGCCTCTGCGGTGTCTTGGTGGGACGCAGTCTCTTTTTGCTTTGAGTCGGTTTGACTCGAAGCCTGTCTTCGATTGCCAAAAGTCGCTTGGCCGCTCTTTTCTCAGTTCCTGCTGGGACGTCGCTGCTCCCACTTGGTTGCTCACTTTCCTCTTCTTTGGCATCTTCCAACGCCAATTGTACTTTCTTACGCTGCTTCCTGGGCCTTTCGCTTCCTTCTTCCAATTTGCGTAGCTTTCTTTCCCACTCTCTTTCTTGATCTTCCATCGAAAGCTCGAACAACTCGTCCGGGTCTGTGTCTTCGTCTCCAACGTAGCTTGGCTCCAGGTCTTTTGCTTTCTTTCTTTTGTACTTTGGTGTTGGTTGTCCTTTTCCACGCTCACCCATTGTGAGCGCTGGGTACTCAAAGCTGTCATTTGGTCCCACTTCATAGAGCTCATCACTGGTTTTGGACTCGCTCTCACTGAGCTCCAAGCCTCCAGGTAGAGCATCGCCAAAAGCATCAAGATTCTTGAAACCATGGCTCATCTACAGGACTTCTTACTAGCTCCCTTTTTAAACAACACCACAAACAGATCCAAATTTCCGGCCCTGGTCCCTGAACACAACCCAGGAAACCCAAACCTCAAAAGACGTGTCTCGAAGCCCAGGGTCGGCCATGGCTCCGCTACCATGAAAAACTCAGTACTCTTTTACACGTCCTTGAGAGGCGCTGCGAGGTAGCACAAATTCCACACGCTCGTGCATGAAAATGCATATTAGACTTTCACTTACAAATTGGGTTTGTACATGCTAGAAAATCTTTACAAAATGGCAAGCATGGCAAGCGGGGAAATAAAGTGCCCTTGCCGCAAGGAAGTGCCCACGCTCTGGCAATCAGGGTGGGTAGCACCACGGTATTGAAGCCAGCGCCTCTGGTCGCCCCAAATTTTACCGCACATGGCAGCGGCACCGACCGCTGACGAAATGTACGGCGCTGCGCAGGACATGCAGGGTAAGGCCGGAGGTGCCGACGGATGGACGGGAGACGAAGTCGCTGAGTGACCCCACGAAGCTCGGCGTCGCTACGCCGCTACGCCGACTTGGTGCGTGTGTGGTTTGATAGAGGTGAGCCACCGCAGGCCTGGACAACTATGCGGCCAAGGAGGACCTAGATAATTCTGCCGCGGAGGGCGACGTCAGTAAGCTGAGGCCCATCGCTGTCGAATCTGTGCTTTGGCGATGCGTGGCCAGTGCATGGACCAGACGCGCGGCCACCAGGGACTGGACGCTCCAATGGATCCCGCACGAAGCGCATGGTGCCATCAAACGCCGCTCGGTTGCTACTGCTATGGCTCAACTCCACGACGCCTTCTTCAAGGGAAGTTTCATGCGCATCGTGAGTACTAGCCAACTCCCTGTTGCAAACCCTTTGCCAAGCGCAACACAGCAAAGCAGGGGCTTCGCTAGGACTCCCTGCAGAAGTATTACTCAACTCACCCCGAATCTGCACAGGCGCAGAGGTCTTAGTATTGCGAACCCATGCATGGCAATACTTACGGTTCCCATACAGCTTAGACTTCCAAGCGTGAAGGTTATTGTGACGTTCAACGGCATCAAGCTCTCCAATTTCAGATCTCATGGAAGAAATCATGCCCTCGAGAGTTTCGCAAGCCAGAAGGCTAGGTCTGCGACGCACCACCTTAGCAATAAGGCCATCAGCGACAGCTCTGTTCCTGTGCCTCGCTCTCTCGGCTTCAAGCAAGACTGGCCTGCAACGCAAGTATTGTTTAGGGCCTACGAGGAGGTCCAGACCCTTGGACCGGTCAGTAGCCTGTTCGACGCCGTGCTGATGGGCCCTGATTGCTTGAGTATTAAACTCGTGCTACTCGGCCTCAGCGCTGGAAAGCCGAATTTGCGGCTGCTGCTTCCAGGCAACCTCAAGGGCTTTCTTCCAGTCCTGCTTACTGCAATCAGGCGGCCTGGAGAGATCCTGGGCGCGAGCAAGGCAGTGATAGGAGATGGGAGGTTGGACGCCCTGAACTGTGAAGCGAAGGGCCTTATGATCCGCTCATGCCACGTTATCAAAGAAAAGTTGACAGGCCAAATCCCACTTGTTAAGCAAATGGTCAATGCAGCGGTTCCCTTCGAATCGTGCGGCCTCGGGACTGCCGTTATGGTCCAGCACACAAACATCAGTGACCACGTTGCCTTGATGGAACCCCGACAGCAGGTTTTCGCTGGGAATGGTGTTCCAATCCCCCACGAAAACCCACCTGGGACCCAGCGAAAACCCCGTAGACCGAAACACCGTCAACATCAATCCCGACCACCTGACCCGACTTATGAGACCAAACCCCCTGGCACAGAGTGCGTCGCGTGAAGGAAACAAGCACAGCAACCCCACCGTAGGCCCTCACGCTAGGACCATTTTCCGTATTCACAGTAAACTCCTTAGGCATGGCCACATGAGCATGGTACTGTCTGGGAGTGATCCATGGCCACAAAGGCCTTGAGCTTGTGGGGGAGGAAATTGAGCTCCTGCAAAATGATGCAATCCAGCCCCTGCTGCATGTAGTGTAGCTTGCCACGCAGTGTCCCCACCGGCTGTGTTGACGGTGACACCTGTGAGGCGGTGACTGTGCCCCGGGCCTGGGTGACTTTCGATATCGCCATCCTCAGTAAGGTCGCTGAACCACACGCTTTTAGTCAGAGGCTGAGGCCTTTTCCCAAGGCTCTAGCAGACAAAGACCCCAAGTTTGCATTCCTATTGCATTGCGCCCAGGCCCACCACGGAGCCTTACGATACAGGTTATCAGCACGCTTGCCAATCCCTCGACATTTCTTCGTAATGGCCTTCATACAACGGAAAAGGCCTGTGCAAGTACAGCATGCGATGCCGGCGGTGCCCCCATTTTCAATGGGAACCGGCACCTCCATGAGGTCATGGCCTGTTTTCTTACACAACTGCTCTTTTTCTACAGCAAACAAAGTCCGCCTTTTCTTTCCCATATAGTGATCGACGAGGCCAAGTTTGATTTGGCTCTTTCCTATCTTGGTCAATCGATTGCGGTTTCCCTCACAGAGATTTGGCTACAAGTGTCCAGGTGCTCCTCAGCCACTTCTAGGATGCTGCCTCTACTAGCCTGGGCATCAATGCCCTTAAGACATTTCGCGCGTGTCCACTTTCTGTTTGGTCACGGGCCACGGGCAGTCCGTAACAAACACAGTCCTAGGCAATTGAAGGAGGAAAAGCAGCTTCTAGGAACCCCCGGGTGGCTGTAGCTAATGTGACTAGTGCGCCCCTTAGTGCGTTTTTCCAAGTAATGGCAAAGACTTCAAACTCGCACAGATCACACTTCCAAGCAAACTTTGAGGACTGGGCCTTTTTTCAAGCAACGTTGGTGCGACCTCCAACTGAGCTACCGGCCTTGTTCTGCTGAACGGGTTGCTGAGGCACAGTCCTAGCCCCGACAGATGATGCAACCTTAGTGCGACCCCCAACTGAGCTGCCAAGAGTCGTATCCGGGGGCCCTCCGCTCACAGCAGCAGAGTTCTCAGGGGTGCGGGTCTTGCCACCGACTGCACTGGAAGGAGCAGCACGCGAGGCCTTTTCGGAACGGGCGGCACTGCGGGGAGCAGCCTTTTCACAACCTCTGGACCCAGCCATGGGGGCCGTAGTAGCAAGAGCCATGTGCTCTTTGCTGATAACACCCTTTAACACCCTTTAAGTACTGATAGTGCGACCCCTGAAACCACAAATTCAGCTGTTTACCCTTGCCATCAGGATTAAAATGATGAAAATCATATGCCCTTGCAGCAGACGGCCTAACAACAAGGATGGGCCTATCCATAGTGGTAGCGAGGGCGTGAAGTTCGGCGTACCCAACCCAGGCTCCCTTTTTAGAAATACGGAGCAAATAGTCCTCAAACGTGCCCTGAAGCTTGGTATCAGTGCCATCAGGTACTTTGCCATCCCAAAAGGACCTGTAGCTGTTGGCATGCTTTCGCATGTGAGTGACACACGTAGCCCTCAAGTGCGCGTGGGTGCGTTGCTTGCCCTCAGCAGCAAGGGCCTGTGACACCACGCAAAACAAGCAGTTTCCACGCCCAGGGTTGTCCTGGGCAGTGTATCCATCAAGAAGCACGATTTTCTGCCGCTGTCCTGTGGCCGTTGCCCCGGCAAACGTGGCCTCACGCTTGCCACTGCTGTCGTTAGTGTCATCGGCTTCCTCGGCATCCATTTGATTAGTGGCCGCTGCTTCGGCACCTTCATGCTTAGCAGTAGCACTTGAGACCTCCCGAGACTGGGGAGGCTTGCGAGGACCTGCTGTGAATCGAGATTTCTCACCAGGCAGCAGGACGCACCGCGCGTTGCTCTTGGCTACCTTTGGGCGGGAATGCTCAATAGCAATCATTTCACCATCGGCATCCTGAAGCTCGAAAAATCAGCATGCTTGTCGCGGATGGCTCGAAAGGCCCCGCCAGCCCTGCTCCTAAGCTTGAATTTCTCTTGAATGTCCACATCCTGGAAACCCAACCACGACAGGAAATCCTCAACATCCCGAAAATCATAATCGCAAATGGATCCGCTTCGAGTGCAACACTCACAAATGCTCATCCTTTGTGTCATTTGTTGTGACCGACTGTTGGCGATCGCTACATCCGTCCTTTTCCTCTACTGTGAGCCCGTCATTTCGCAATTCCGGAGTTTACTCTTCTTCTGGGATGTTGACTTCATGCCATGTCTTGGGTCTAGGGTTAATGGACTACTCACTGCCTGCATGGTTGTTCACACCTGTCTGCCACAACGTACAATTTGCATGTTCCCAGCCGTGGCACTTGCTCCCTACGACACAAGAAAACTGTCCAGCATCCAGTGCACTTCCGAGGCTCATTCTTGGTCATACCGATGCCAGAATCCTCGATGGTCAACGTGGAGTTCGTCTTGTCCGGGATGATCCTCAGCAACTTTGACAATTCAAACATGCAAGCAAGCAATTAACCGACCATCGATCTTTAAATCACATGCTGGCTTCCTAGCGCGTGCAGGATGCAAAACTGGGACACCCAAACTCAAAGCAGCACTGCCTTTTAAAAACGTGCGCAGCTTTCCACATACCAGTCGGGTTGCTTGATGAAGAAGTTCGGCT